AGTACCATGGTTCCCGGGCTGAGGAGGCCGCCTCCTTGCGCAGGCCGGCCACCTGCAGTGGGAGCCTGGCCTGTACAGTGGGGCCATCTTTCCGGTCCTCAGCCCGGTCACCCTCTGGCTGCACTGGGAACCTTGTGGCTCTCTCTGTCACCTTCTCTCCCCTCGCCTCCTCCCCACCTAGACACTCCAGGCTGCCTTTTTTATTTCCCTTGTGGTGTTCCCAGTGGGGAGTGTATAAGTCTTTCTGCTCTGACTTTCTCTTTAAATTCTCTGGATGTTTGCTACTGTTCCAGCTTCAGCCATTGTTCAGCACAAGGTGAGGGTGGGCACAGCAGGGCTCCCCCAATCTGACCTTTCCTCTTCCCCTCCTCTCTTTCTACCTGCTGTCCAGCAGCATCTCCACTTCCACCTGTGGTGAAAAGCTCACCTAGAGTCTGAGTTCTTGCCACCTGTGGCTTATAATAACTCTAGGTGTTCATACCTTCAAACCTGGATTGTAACATGTAAAGGGAATTAAAATTTTTTTATGGGAGTAACAGTATATTATAACATTCTATAAGTTTCAGGTGTTCGTGATAATAAATCAACATCTGTCTGTAAAGGGAATGTTGAAACTTAGTGATTGCTTTTTTTTTTTTTTAAAGATTTATTTATTTACGCATACAGAGCTGGGGTATAGGCCAGAGGTGCAGGGGCGGTGAGAGGATTCACCAGAGACAGTGGAGAGCAGAACAGGCTGGCTGATGAAGTACACTGCTGAGGGGAGCAGCAGGCGGGTAAGAAGAATTCAGCCTCGCAAAGTAGATATACTCCGGGGCAAGAAGGGATTGAAATCATGCAGAAGTGGCTTAAGCATCTTTGTGCACTGCTTAACCCGCTGCGCCACCAGGGGGGGCAGAGATTCCTTTTTTAACAAAGACTGCCTCAAGGTTACTGTCTCTTGGTGAATGTTGTCAACAATAATCCAACAGCAAACCGGAGCTTTCGCTGCAAGTGAGAACAAAGTGGGGCTTTCAGGGGAGTGCACTCAGGAGGCTGGGAGGCCTCCATGTGGGCATGGGGCACGCAGAGGTCTTTCAGAGAGCATAATAAGACTGTTTAAAGGAGCAAGAAGCGTCTGCAAGAGGAAGGGGTGCTGTGTGAGGAAGGGGTGCTGCAGTCAGCACGGGGATCGGACGGGCTCTGATGGCAGAGCCGATGGCGCTGCTGCGTCCTCCGAGAAGTGTCCAGACTTGCTCCCCTCTGGCTGTCAGGTCCTGGCCCCATGGTGGCCATGCTTTGCGGCCAACCCAGGTTCCAAAGGGGTCAGGTGTGGTGAATGTGGTTCAGCCTGGTCTCCCGCTGGCCATTCTGCTCCAAAAGGATGTTGCCTTGATCAATTTTGGGTTCCTAGTCGTCTTTACAACTTACACTTTTTTTGGACAGCACATAACAACGACTTCATGGTTCTAGTTGGGGGTTTGTCTGCTGATCACTGAGGCAGTGAGACGGGCAGGCTCTAGGGTGTCATTATTTGAGTGTAATAAAAAAAATCAGCTTATTATGTTCAGAACTGTTAGACCAATACATATGCAACCTGGACAAGGAGAAGGAAGGATGAAACCCAGATGGTTCCCAGATTTCCCAGGAGGTCAGTGACCTAGAAGACCCTGCTCTACCTCCCTGAGGCTCAACCTGTGGCCAGTGACCGGCCCCGGGCTGAAGGCGGCCTGGACCAGGGAGTCGACATCACGATCATCCACAGTCGCCCATCAGCTTTATCCGCCTTACTCCCTGCTGATCTTGGATCCCACGTCTTCTGGCTGCTTTCCGAAATTAAAACTATGTTCTACACCAAGTCCCTACTGAGAAGAACCCCACAAACATGCCTCAGGCTTCAAGGCAGGCCCCCCAGAAAGTTCCTGAATATTTTGAGCACCGGAATAAATGGCTCTTCTTTCAAGAGGACGCTGAATGGAACGCGCTGATCTGGAGATGCTGCTTAGAAAAGCGTCTTTGTCACGGCAGTCCAGTCATGGCAGTCCAGTCACACCTTGTATAGTCACTGGCAGGAATCCAAAAGCCGGTGCCCACCACCTCTGCTCGGAGATCTGCGTCTGCAGTGAGAGCCAGGTGGACTCTGTGAAATGTCACGAGTGAGGCAGATGAAGAGAAAATTAAACTCTCCTCCAGCTGGGCAGCCCTGTTTGATGTCAGCAGCTGAGGGATATTTTGTTTCCGTGCCTGGAATTGTAATGTCTGAGGAATGTCCTAGGTGGGCTGTTGAAGCCGGTCAGCCTGGCTGTGAAGAGAGCGGAGGCCGCTGCGCCCAGCCAGGAGGGCGGCCGGTGAGGGTCTGTGGGAGGCCGCCTGCCCCAGAGGACGCTGCAGAGCTGTGGCCCCCAACCTCCGGACGCCGAGCCCCCAGATCTCTCCCCTTGGATCTTCCCTCAGCCCTGGAGAAGCTGGGGCCATGGCCACCGCTGCTGTTGGTGGAGGTGGAATCTGTCAGGTATAATTCGATCCCCTTCCTCACACCCCAGGAGATTCCCGTGCAAACCCTGGCAAGGTGCTGGTGGAGATTTGCACAAGAAAACAAATGTGACTCAGTGATTCATTGCTTATTTACTTTATTCATCAAGCATTGGGGAGCCCCTCCTGGGAATCAGCCACAGGGGAGCCCCAAGGCCAAGGGCCAAGGCATTCACTTCCCTGCTCTGTGCGGAGCACCCAGAGAGGAATGGGGTGGGGTTGGGG